TCGAAATTTCGATCCGGTGCGGCTCCATTGACCCCGCCAACGTCAAGTCGCTGAGGCAATGGCTTCCGTCCCTGAAAGACAAAGTCTTTGTGCGGATGGCCGAACATATACCAGGTCCGGAGCTTCAAGACTTCTCGTAGACAGGCTTTTATAAATTCTTTGTACGATGCTTTTCCTGTGGGTGCATCAGTTAACAACAAATTTTATTTGCCACCACGAACTGAGAATAATCATGCCCGCTGGCAGAAGACTGCAACAAGCCAACGCCTCTAAATACATCGGAATTAACTGTATATATACATAAGAATATGCCAATGGGTGAAGACTGCACACCAGAAATCCACCAACACCTCCGCCACAATTACAGCAAGCCTCCGCCCCCGAATCACGCCGCACCGCCAATACGCCGCCTGCTTTTACGCGGCGCCGCGGCGGGCACAAACTCGTCCTCCTCGTCGCTCTCTATCATCACGACGCGCTGCTTCGCCGTGTCCCTCTTTGGGCGTTTCGCCGGCGTCTCCGTCCCTGCGTCCCCGTCCGCGACCAAGAACGAGCGCTTGCTCCCCGTGTTCGTCAGCTCCGCCCCAAACGCAAACGCCGCCCGGCCCGTGAGCGACGTCTCGACCTCGTCCACCTCCATCTGGTCGTCCGAGTCGTGCGCCTTCACATCGTCTGCGGCCTCGCCCTCGGCATTGTCCCGGTGGCCATCGACATCCATCTCTCCCACATCCTCCGGATCCGCCTTCTTCCCTTTCTTCCCCTTCTTGGCCCGCTTCGGCGACGCCTTGAACGCCTTCCCGTTCTTGACCGACCACTCAATCTCGATGATCCTGCACGCCTTGTCAGAACGTCGTCTATTGCCCCGGCACACCCCCGCTGTGCTGCGTGACGCGCCACAGGAAGACGTGCACAACAAAAAGGATCCACCTCTCTTTCAGCTTGACGTTGTCCGGGACATACGCCTCCGCTCGCCGATACAGGTCCAGCGCCGTCTGCAGGTCGCCCCTGGATCACCATCAGTCAGCGAGGGAGTACGAGAGCAAGGCCAGACAACGCACTTATCCGAATGCGCACGCGCAAGCGCGACGTACGCGCGCCCCGTCTTCTTCTTCGAAACAGGAGACAGCACGTCCGCGAGTGCAGCCTCTCGGTTGCCCTTTTCGCTATAACGCCCGTCAGCCTACAGCCCCAAACCAAAGAACTAAAAGTAGCGGGCGGACGACTGACAACTTGCGCTCGAGCTCCTGCAGACGTGCCTGCAGTTGGTCGTCGAGGTCCTTGTGGCGCTTCAGCAGCGGCGAGAGCCCCGGCGGGAGCGCCTTCGCGTCCTTCCTCGGCGACCAACTCTTGCCCCGGCTCGACCCCGCCTCCATCCCCATCTCGCGCTCCCGCTCTGCCAGCCGCCTCGCTACCTCCGCCTCCACCGCACGCGAAATCTATACATAAGCCCCTCCGTCAGTACCCCGCTGCGCTTGAAGACCAAGAACGCGAAACGCACCCGCGCATCGATCTCTGCCTCGCTCAGTCCGGGCGCCGGCTCCTCCTTCTCCTTCTCTTTGGGCGCGCCGGCGCCGGCGACGGACATGCGTTTCGCCGCCCCAAACGGCGCCACAACGAGCCCGAACGTCGATGTGCGCGCGGCGGGCCGCGGGACGAGCGACGGGCGCCCCGCTGCGCGCGCTGGTGCGGCCGCGGGAATAGGCTTCGCCGCAAACGCGAGATCAATCCTCGGCGGGGGCGCAGCCGGAGGCGGCCGAAACTCTATAGGGTTGTCAGATCGGGCGTTACACGCAAACAAAGGGAAGCTACGTACCCCGCTCATTAACGACCGGCTTGTTCTCGATGTTCTTCGTCCGCACCGCGAAGCTGCGGCCGCGTCAGCGTTCGTCGTCTGCAGCATGGTGGCAGGGGACTCACTTGAGCGTATTCAGCGTGTCCTGCCGGAACTTTGCGCCGGGCGCGAGGTTGCAGATGAGGAGCCCGACGGAGGAGCCGCCGAGGGCGTCTTGGAGAATGCGGGTGAGCTTCGAGTTGCGGTACGGGATGCGCGACTGTGGGAGGGCAATTAGCAAGGGGACGAGGGGTGAGGGGAAAAAGAAGGGGGGGGATGAGGAACAAGGGCGCGACGATAGGGTATTAGCAGAGCGGGATCAAGGGTGTACCAGGGGGCGAAAGGATGGTGGATGGGATCAGGAAGGACGCGATGGGAATTAGCTGATGGAGGTCGGGGGTGAGGGAAACAATGGTGCAGATAATCAAGACGTGGCGAGGAAGGAAAGACCCGCAGCAGGTGTGAGCAGGGCCCATAAGGGAAGTTCAGGTGATAGAGCCGAAGAAGAGCGTGGACATGAATGGATAGTACGGGGGAAGGGAAGGAGGGCTATCGATCGCAAAACGAGGGAATGGTGCCACAAGTAGCAGCAGTACATACGGCCAACGAAGTACACCAGAGAAAATAAACAAGAAAGGCAAAAGGGAAGAAACACTCACCGCCCCCGTATTCAGCGCATGCACCACCTGCCCCAACACGCTCAAGCTCTTATTAATCGCAGAGCTCTCCGCCATCCGCGAGGGGTCGTTCCCCGTCAGCTGCCAAGCCGCCGTCAGTCCTCATACTCAAACGTGGCACCAAAAAAAGAAGAAAAGGAGGCAGCGCAACACACCTTGTTATTCTCCGACCCCGCGAGGTCGACGAGGTTGATCTTGCCCTCGCGCAGGCGCCCGCCGCGCACGACGCGCAGCGCGAGGGTGAGCACGGCGTGTGAACGCGAGGAGGCGCGGTTGAGGAGTGTGGCGCCGACGGAGCGGCGCGCGGTTGCGGTGCTGGGAGGTTGTCAGCGGGGGTTTCATTTTGGGAGAGGAGGGGAAAGGGAAGGACAGCGAATAGACGGAGGGAGGGAGTGGGCGTCAGAGAACGATGACTGGGCGGGGAGAGATGGCAACAAAAGGCAGTAGGCTGCACAAACGGAGGGACGAAAACGCGCTCCCCCCTGCAGGTAGTCCAAGCGCACTTGAAAGCGAGGCAGTGGAGCCCGCGGGACCGCCTTCCTCTCCCGGACAGAATAAGCGGAAGGAGCATCGGAAGCATGACTGTAGGTGGAGGAGGGAGGGCTACGATTCCGAGGAACGAGAAGAGGACGGAGGAGACGGGGTAAACGCGTGCCTCCCCCTCCCCCTCGTCTCCACGCGCACTTCAAAGTGAGGCGGTGAATGCCCGCGGACCGCCCTGCTCCCGACAGCCACCAAGCCCAATAGTCCGGAAAAGACGATACTGAGGAAGGGGAGTTTTTACCGAGTACCGAGAAAGGGAGGGAGAAGACGTAACACGCCGCGCGCGGCAGCCAGAGAGGCAGCAGCACAATGGCAGTCCCAGCCCGTACAGACGGCAGAGGACCGAGGCGCGCCTTCCCCTCCCTTCCCCCCTCTGCCTCCATCCCCAATTCAGACCACGGCAGTACTCTTGCTCCCTCACCTCCCCCTCCCGCAAATCCACACGCACACAAATCACAGAGATAGAAACAAACGATACGGATAAACGCACCTATAAATCCTATCAAACTCCTCCACGCTCCCCACCGGCGCGCTCGCCAGCCCCGCCACGAACACCGCGCCCGCGTCGTTCTCGCGCACCGGCAGCTTCGGGGCCTGCGCGTGTAGCAATAATGATAAGAATGAAATCAGCGAGCGAAGGGAGGAGGGAAGGAAGGGACGCACGTTCTCGCGCGCGACCAACAAGTCGTACACCTCGTCCTTGTAAATCTCGATGTAGGAGACTGTCACCGAGGTCGTCTCGTCCGCGTCGCAGCCAGGGCCGAAGAGGGTCTGTGAGGGAGTTAGCTGGGCGTGGCTGGGAACGGAAGGGAGGCGGACCTCGACGACGCGGGGGATGACGCCGGGGTCGGCGCGCGTGCCCTGCATTGTGTGCGTCTTGCCGCTGCTGGTGACGCCGTAGGCGAAGATGGTAACGGTCTAAGGGTGGGGTGGGGTTAGCAGGTGGTTACGAGGGCGTGAGGGAGAAGGATGGGGAGGGGGAGTGGGGGAGAAGGGGTAAGGGAAACGGGGAATCGAGGTATGACGGTAGGGAAGAGGAAGGGCGGTGTATGATAATAAAGGGCGAAAGAAAGAGCACGCACCACGCCACCGCGCGCAACGTCAACAAGAGGCCGCACGTCCGCGTCAAAGAGCTCCGCCTGCGTCGAGTCTGCATCGTAGCAGCTCGTGAACCTGCCTCATCGTCAGCGATACTCTCACAAGACGATTAGGGGCGCCAGAAAAAAGCGACACTGCAGTCTCGGGTCACAGAATGCCACCAAGACGGCCGTTCCTGAGACGAAGACAACCCCACAAGGAGATGCACGCAGAACGCGCTCGAAAGGAGCAAAGATACTAAGAGAGGGGAGTCGACGCACGGGAATCGGAAGATCTGGCTGGGGTCCCGGGGGTTGGCGACAGAGATGAAGGTCCCGCTGGTCGTGCTCGCGCTTCCCGCCGAGGTGTTTGGGCCACTGGTGTTGGGGATGGATGTGCTGGTCGAGGAGGAGTCGCCGTGGACGATGCGCACGGCGTCGTCCAAAGGCTCGCCGGGGAGACGCGGGCGCAACCGCGCGGCGATCTTCACTTTTGCGGTGGCCGCCATCAAGCGCGTCGTCCGACAAGGAGAACCAAAGAAATCGCGCGGGAAGGGAGGAGACAAAGTTGGATTTGTGACATGCAATCACGGTCCCGTGCCGCGACGGCTTCCACCAAACACGATCATGTGATCGACGCGTTGAAGGTTGGTTCAACGGTTGGCTCTTTACACCAAGTCATTTTTAATCACTTCTAAACTCATATTTCGTCGTTTTCGGCCAGTTTTACACTTAGAAATTTGTCTCTTTGGCTTCTGGTCAACCAGGAATATCCCTGTGTTTGAATTATCGCACAGATTGATTCTCTTATTTCTTTGCTCCCAGATCCCTTGAACGAGTTAATAAAGCTCCTGGGATAGAAACATCCGGAACTCAGACATGGTGTAATGGGAACATGGCTTTATATCGTATATCGTATATCTTCGTCCTCATCGACAAAGGCAGTCCAGGGTTCGACTCCCTGTGTCTGAGTTCATGCGTAAGATGCGTTTTTTTCGTCTTACATCCGTCCATTGATCCTCGCCCTTGAGCGAGCTAATAAACTGCCCGGATGTGGTTTGAAGGAACTCAGATACACAACTTCTCATTATGATTTCTTACTTCTCAGTTTTGAGGCAATCCAGTGTTTGATGTTGTCTGAGTTCGTACACATTGCGCCGACATTCCCCATGAACAGGCTAATAAACCTCCTGGGATGAAAGGGGAAGGAACTTAGACATGGTGTGGTGGGAACACAGCCTCTTCTCGTGGAAGATCATAGTTATGGTTTCCGAGGCAGTCCAGGGTTCGAACCCCTGTGTCTGAATGGTCGCTTACCATCTTTTTAGGGTCTCCTCGTTTCTCGGGACTCCTTATCCAGCGCGATATTGGAGTTGACTATATTCTCCGAACGCAAGCACTGGTGTCCGAACTACGCGAAGTTGAGGTCGAATTTTGAACCGGTTCGGCAGAGGGTGACTTTCAGACGGTCAGTTTAAATATTTAATGTCAGTGCGGTCCGCCGTGTTGCGGGCCTGTAAAATCTCGATGTCGTTTTTCTTCCGCGTCCTCTTCGGCTTATGACATTTCCGCCAGCAGTGCGCGCGCGTCCTAAGTTGTCTCACACGATCGCCTAGCCCTTTTGAGCGGATTATCCAATGAGTGCATGTCGTAGCAGAAGTAATATCACAGGCCAATAAATTGATGTGGTATGGCTTTTCTCCGAGTAATGCAAGTCTGAGACCATGGGCAATAACGGATTCAATGGACACACCTTTGGACGCGGATCGATCGCCAGGGCTGAAAACAATGGTTCAATTTATGCCAGAATCGTAGTTCCGTTTGGCGTTGAAAATTTCGAAATCGTGGTTCCGTTCGGAGTCGCGGCAGTAAAATTCTTGGTTCCCTTTGTAATAGGGGAGGTCAAAGCGGTCAAAGAGGACCGATTCATCATCCGATTCTGAACCCGATTCTGGTCAGAATCGACGAACAGAATCGGATGAGAATCAGCGCAGCTCTGACCGATCCGATTTTGCAGTCGATCCTGCGGTTGCTTTCTAGGTCGCTTCTTGGGGATCAGAAGCGATGTTTCGAGAATCGGCGCCGATTCTGACGAGTTCCTGCTCCGAAGCAGGAACACCGATTCAGACCGATTCTCGATGTCACCGATTCTCGACCGATTCATCCAAAATCGGGCCAAGAATCGACCTCAGAATGGTGCTTGAATTGGCCTCGTCTGACCGCTTTGACTCCCCCTAATGTTCGCGACAGTCAAACTCGTGGTCCGTTGGAGTTCGGCACATGGTCCGTGTGTGGCCCCTCCATCTGTACCTAGGAATCCAGGGCCCATCTGGACTTTTGACAAGGGTGTTCCATGTGGAGTTTTCACAGGGCAGTTAGAAATGGAACAAACGTGTTTCCCGAATTCCACGATGTAGCGTGCGTGAGACAGTGCGCTGAGTCGATGTTGCTGATTTGATTGTCACCCAAAATCCTGTATCAACTCTTACTTGGCGAAATCCGACCACGAATTGCAGCAGGAGCGCCGAGGCTAACAGGTCACTTGGATAGACTAGGGTAGATACATGCAACTTTTGAACATGAACATTAGCGACAACGACTATCAAACCTAATTATCCTCCTTCCCCAGCCTGCCGTTGTACGCCAACGCCGCCCGGCGCTCCTCGAGGTCAATAAGGTCCGCATCACGGTCCTTGGTCTCGGGGATGAGGAACGTGAAGGGGATGCACACGATGGCGACGCCGCAGAAGAGCCACAGCACGTTGTTGGCGCCGACGTTGGTGCTCATGATGGAGACGGCGAGCGAGGCGATGATAGCGCCGCACTTGCCGCACGCGGCGGACAGCCCGTGCGAGAAGCCGCGCACGCGCGTCGGGAACACCTCCGCGGGGACTGTGCAACGTCAGCAACCCGGTGCAAGGAGGGGAAAGGGAAGAAATACGCACTGACGAAGGTGGTCGCGTTGGCGCCAAAGTTGAAGAAGAACTGGAGGAAGATGAAGCACGCGATGAGGCCGCTCGGGTTCGCCTTGAGCGCGGTGTACTTGCCCGCCATCACCGCAAAGATAATGGCATTCATAACAAGGCCCATGATCTGGATCTTCTTGCGGCCGAGGTACTCGATCGTGAACAGCGTGAAGTAGTACCCCGGGAGGAACCCGCCGACGGCGATGATGACGTTCGCGACGCCCTGCTGCCAGAGGAACTCCCACGGGTCCTTGGAGTTTGCGAGGCCGAGCGCGGAGATAAAGATGGACTGGTTGAGGGAGATGCCGTAGAAGATGACATCGAGGAGGAACCAGGACATGGTGGTGCCGATGAGGATTTTGAGGTGGCGCCACTCGGAGAAGTAGTCGCGCGCATCGCGCCACGCGGCGGCCTTGGCGGCCTTTGTCGCGGCGAGCGCGCCGCCGGTGACGGGGGGTGCGGCCTCGTGGACGTCAGAGTCCGAGCCCTCGTCAATCTTCTCGCCGTTGTGGTCGAGCTTGACGCCTTTTACCTGGCCCTTTGCGATGAGACTAGGGTCCTCGCGGATGGCTTGCACACCCTTCATGCGCGTGGACTCGGTCATCAGCAGACGCTGCACGATGGTGATGATGCCAGGAATAATAATGAGGCCCGTGTAGATGCGCCAGACCGAGTTGAGCTGGCCCGTATGCCCATGCTCCTGCACGCCCTTTTTGTAGATGGCGAGGAGGATGATAAAGACGATGCCGCCGACGAGCGAGCCCCAGCCCTGCATGGCAAAGATGAAAGTGACCATGGTTCCGCGACGGCGGAGGTTGGCGCGGTCAGCGACGACGGAGGCAGACATGGGGTAGTCGCCGCCGATGCCGATGCCCATGATGGCGCGGAAGACGGTGATATAGGTGAAGATGCCTGCGCCGAGGGAGAGCGGCGCCGCGATGATAAGGACTGTCGCTACGGTCGTGACCATCATCTCAATCCCGTAGACCGCCTTACGCCCAAATACATCGCCGGCGAGACCAAACGTGATCTGGCCGACCACACACCCGATGTTCGCCGCAGCCTTCAGGACACCGCCCTGCAGCGGCGCGTTGGCAATCGTACCCGAAAGCTTTCCGTTCACGACGTAGCTGGCCAAGAGTGAGCACACGAGCAAAAAAAAGGGTGCGAGGGTCCTTACTTGAGAATCACGACAACCAAGTTGATGTTAAACAGGTCGTATGCATCGATGAAGAAGCCAGCTGCACAACGTTCAAGCTCAAAAAGTAAAGCAGTAAAGCACAGGGCAAGACGCACTGGACGCAATGAACAGGAGCTTCAACTCGGGCCATGTGAGCTTCCAGCGCGACTGGTTCTCGCGCTCGACCGCGGATAGGCGACTATCGTCAAAGGCGTCGGCAGTGGAGATGGCCATTGCAGGCTGAACGACGGGTGAAGAAGATAGGGAGTAACGGAGGCACCGGCCGTCCGCCTGTGCCAACTTTATAACCTCTGCCGTTGGATGCAGTGCGCACGTTCGTCGCGCAACTATGCCTAAATTTGGAAATATGCCATTTGGAAAGATGAGCGGAAGATTCCGGGCGCGCAGCTAGAGCTCGGGCAACTGATGCGGCCAGGCTTCATCTGTATGGTTGCATCCACCCTAGAGATAGTCTCGATATTAATCTTCAACGAGCTGCAGAACCCTAGGAGGTTTGGGAGTTGGAACAAAGTTGAAAAGAAATACTGCGGAACGTGCCACGATCAGTGCTGCCACCCGTGGGAAGATTCCCATTTATAGTAACTTCACGTGCCGTTTTGCGGCGGGAAGATCTTGAGCCAGAATTTGGGATCGGCAGCGCCCTGGATGAGCGTAATAATATGAATGCCTCTCACTCGATAACTGCTGCACCGCTCACCTGGGGAGGTGGATTTTCGTGATCCCAGTGGAAAACTGGTTCAGATGAAAAACCCCATTGAAAATTTCTTAATTTCCGAAGCCCCTTGAGGATAACTGAAACAGACGCAGTTATCTTTTCTCATCAAAATCTGCCTCGGCACATATTCCGAATGATCCTATCCCTCCTCGGCATACCTGGCGCTACAGCTCTCTGCCCGAGCGCGGCGAACGACTGCCCTATAACGTCTGGAAACGAGACTATCCTCGCAGGAGAAATATATGTCTCTCCGCCTTGCGTCTTGTTCATCAAAGTCTCTGTCCCGGATCACTGATATCGGAGCCCGGAGATCACACCCGAACATCTGGAGCCGAGATTACCTAGCCTCTTCAGATTAGCCGTCGTGCGACGCCGCCATGAAACGTTACAGACGAAATTATCGGGAACCACTTCATGCACATGTCTCTTCCACAGCGCATTCGCTGGCTATTTTCAGGCCATGTATCGAGTTCCCCGCCAGAAGGAATGCACACCGTGCCTTGCACGGGTCTGGATATCTCGAGTCGTGATTTGGTCCTCACCACCGGGCTCATCATTGACAGGCGCCTAAACGCTAAAAAACTAGAACAGACTCTTTCGACACTCATTGAACAGAAGTTCCCCAGGGCGGGAGCGCGACTCGCACTGAGAAATGGGGTGGGTCCTCTCAAATTCCTTCCGAGTGTCCCAGAAGTTGAAGTGCGGCACAGGTGTACGAATTCCAGGTCCCCAATACCTTCGATACAAACACTCCGTCCATGGCGTTCACTGCGGAGGATTATCCTGAGCCGTACCGCTCTTCTGCGCGTCCTGAGCTCCCCATTCATCTCCCGGACGTTTTGGAGGTCCCCTCCATCCATCCGTTTCCCGCGTTGGAGGTGTATTTCAGGAGCAGGGAATGCCCGGCATCTCTCGAAGGGTTCCTTGTGCCTAACACGCCCCTGGTTCATGTGCACGTCACGGCCTTCGACGATCTCACGTTCATCGGCGTCACATCATCGCATATCGCCTTCGACGCGCTTGGTACGCGGACGCTGCTCCACGCTTGGACGCGTCTGCTCAACGGGGACGCGATCGATACTATCCCGGGCATGGAGAAGGATGCGGCGCCATTCGAAGCTTTTAGGGGGCCAACCGCGGTCACGCACATGCGGGGCTGGTTCGATCTCGGGCTGTTCAGCCAGGTTTTATTCATCGTGCGCTTTGTGTTGCGGATTCTCTGGGACCCGAAAGAAGTGACACACCTTGTTCGCGTGCCCAAGATCTTCTTGGACGAATCCAAACGCGAAATAATGGAAGATCTGAAGCTTCAAGGGTCCAGCGAGTGGGTAGGGAGCTCCGACGTACTCGTGGCGTGGTGGTACAAGGTTTGCCTAGAACCTGTAGTTTTCGCCGTTGTCTAACGGGCCTGCATTAATATTCTA